TGTTAATTTATTTAGCTCATCCTTTGATTTTCAAATTTTTTACATTTATTATTATTTCATCTTTTTTCTTCATTTTTTCCTTCTAATTAACTATTTTATGATATATTTTTTCTTCAATATTTAAAAAGTCATAATTAAATTGGTGACGAAGGTGCATCAGGCTTAGGTTCTGGTTTAACAAATTGCATTAATCTCTCGAATTTGACACTTTACCTTGAGTAAAAACAGTTTATTTGTTTTGGATTGTGATATTTTGAATTATAAAAACTAATTAAAAACAATAAAGCTCTTTTTTCTTTTTCTTTTTATTGTGCTTGCTTTTTTTAGTTCTTTCTTTGTTAATTTATTTAGCTCATCCTTTGATTTTCAAAATTTTTACATTTATTATTATTTCATCTTTTTTCTTCATTTTTTCCTTCTAATTAACTATTTTATGATATATTTTTTCTTCAATATTTAAAAAGTTTCAATAAAATTGGTGCAATGGGTGCATCAGGCTTAGGTTCAGGTTTAGCAAATTGCATTAATCTCTCAAATATGACAATTTACCTTCGGTAAAAACAGTTTATTTGTTAAGGATTGTGATATTTTGAATTATAAAAACTAATTAAAAACAATAAAGTTATTTTTTCTTTTTCTTTTTATTGTGCTTGCTTTTTTTTGTTCTTTATTTGCTAATTTATTTAGCTCATCCTTTGATTTTCAAATTTTTTACTTTTATTATTAATCTTATTATTTCATCTTTTTTCTTCATTTTTTCCTTCTAATTAACTATTTTATGATATATTTTTTCTTCAATATTTAAAAAGTTACAATTAAATTGGTGACGAAGGTGCATCAGGCTTAGGTTCTGGTTTAACAAATTGCATTAATCTCTCTAATTTGACACTTGACCTTAGGTAAAAACAGTTTATTTGTTTTGGATTGTGATATTTTGAATTATAAAAACTAATTAAAAACAATAAAGCTCTTTTTTCTTTTTCTTTTTATTGTGCTTCCTTTTTTTTGTTCTTTCTTTGTTAATTTATTTAGCTCATCCTTTGATTTTCAAATTTTTTACTTTTATTATTAATTTATTAATTAATCTTATTATCTTTTTTCTTCATTTTTTCCTTCTAATTAACTATTTTATGATATATTTTTTCTTCAATATTTAAAAAGTTGCAATTAAATTGGTGACGAAGGTGCATCAGGCTTAGATTCTGGTTTAGCAAATTGCATTAATCTCTCAAATTTGACACTTAACCTTGAGTAAAAACAGTTTATTTGTTTTGGATTGTGATATCGTGAATTATAAAAACTAATTAAAAACAATAAAGCTCTTTTTTCTTTTTTTTTTTATTGCGCTTGCTTTTTTTTGTTCTTTCTTTGTTAATTTATTTAGCTCATCCTTTGATTTTCAAAATATTTACTTTTATTATTAATTAATTAATTAATCTTATTATTTCATCTTTTTACTTCATTTTTTCCTTCTAATTAACTATTTTATGATATATTTTTTCTTCAATATTTAAAAAGTCATAATTAAATTGGTGCAATTGGTGCATCAGACTTAGGTTCTGGTTTAGCAAATTGCATTAATCTCTCGAATTTGACACTTTACCTTGAGTAAAAACAGTTTATTTGTTTTGGATTGTGATATTTTGAATTATAAAAACTAATTAAAAACAATAAAGCTCTTTTTTCTTTTTCTTTTTATTGTTCTTGCTCTTTGATTTTCAAATTTTTTACATTTATTATTATTTCATCATTTTTCTTCATTTTTTCCTTCTAATTAAGTATTTTATGATATATTTTTTCTTCAATATTTAAAAAGTAATAATTAAGTTGGTGACGAAGGTGCATCAGGCTTAGGTTCAGGTTTAGCAAATTGCATTAATCTCTCAAATATGACAATTTACCTTCGGTAAAAACAGTTTATTTGTTAAGGATTGTGATATTTTGAATTATAAAAACTAATTAAAAACAATAAAGCTCTTTTTTCTTTTTCTTTTTATTGTGCTTACTTTTTTTTGTTCTTTCTTTGTTAATTTATTTAGCTCATCCTTTGATTTTCAAATTTTTTACTTTTATTATTAATCTTATTATTTCATCTTTTTTCTTCATTTTTTCCTTCTAATTAACTATTTTATGATATATTTTTTCTTCGATATTTAAAAAGTAATAATTAAGTTGGTGACGAAGGTGCATCAGGCTTAGGTTCTGGTTTAGCAAATTGCATTAATCTCTCAAATATGATACTTTACCTTAGGTAAAAACAGTTTATTTGTTTTGGATTGTGATATTTTGAATTATAAAAACTAATTAAAAACAATAAAGCTCTTTTTTCTTTTTCTTTTTATTGTGCTTGCTTTTTTTTGTTCTTTCTTTGTTAATTTATTTAGCTCATCCTTTGATTTTCAAATTTTTTACTTTTATTATTAATTAATTAATCTTATTCTTTCATCTTTTTTCTTCATTTTTTCCTTCTAATTAACTATTTTATGATATATTTTTTCTTCAATATTTAAAAAGTTACAATTAAATTGGTGACGAAGGTGCATCAGGCTTAGGATCTGGTTTAGAAAATTGCATTAATCTCTCGAATTTGACACTTTACCTTGAGTAAAAACAGTTTATTTGTTTTGGATTGTGATATCGTGAATTATAAAAACTAATTAAAAACAATAAAGCTCTTTTTTCTTTTTTTTTTTATTGTGCTTGCTTTTTTTTGTTCTTTATTTGTTAATTTATTTAGCTCATCCTTTGATTTTCAAAATTTTTACTTTTATTATTAATTAATTAATTAATCTTATTATTTCATCTTTTTACTTCATTTTTTCCTTCTAATTAACTATTTTATGATATATTTTTTCTTCAATATTTAAAAAGTAATAATTAAGTTGGTGCAATGGGTGCATCAGGCTTAGGTTCTGGTTTAGCAAATTGCATTAATCTCTCAAATTTGACACTTTACCTTGAGTAAAAACAGTTTATTTGTTTTGGATTGTGATATCGTGAATTATAAAAACTAATTAAAAACAATAAAGCTCTTTTTTCTTTTTTTTTTATTGTGCTTGCTTTTTTTTGTTCTTTATTTGTTAATTTATTTAGCTCATCCTTTGATTTTCAAATTTTTTACTTTTATTATTATTAATCTTATTATTTCATCTTTTTTCTTCATTTTTTCCTTCTAATTAACTATTTTATGATATATATTTTTTCTTCAATATTTAAAAAGTAATAATTAAGTTGGTGCAATGGGTGCATCAGGCTTAGGTTCTGGTTTAGCAAATTGCATTAATCTCTCAAATTTGACACTTAACCTTGAGTAAAAACAGTTTATTTGTTTTGGATTGTGATATTTTGAATTATAAAAACTAATTAAAAACAATAAAGCTATTTTTTCTTTTTCTTTTTATTGTGCTTGCTTTTTTTTGTTCTTTCTTTGTTAATTTATTTAGCTCATCCTTTGATTTTCAAATTTTTTACTTTTATTATTATTAATCTTATTATTTCATCTTTTTTCTTCATTTTTTCCTTCTAATTAACTATTTTATGATATATTTTTTCTTCAATATTTAAAAAGTAAGAATTTAATTGGTGCAATGGGTGCATCAGGCTTAGGTTCTGGTTTAGCAAATTGCATTAATCTCTCGAATTTGACACTTTACCTTTAGTAAAAACAGTTTATTTGTTTTGGATTGTGATATTTTGAATTATAAAAACTAATTAAAAACAATAAAGCTCTTTTTTCTTTTTCTTTTTATTGTGCTTGCTTTTTTTTATTCTTTCTTTATTAATTTATTTAGCTCATCCTTTGATTTTCAAATTTTTTACTTTTATTATTAATTAATTAATCTTATTATTTCATTTTTTTTCTTCATTTTTTCCTTTTAATTAACTATTTTATGATATATTTTTTCTTCAATATTTAAAAAGTGAGAATTAAATTGGTGACGAAGGTGTATCAGGCTTAGGTTCTGGTTTAGTAAATTGCATTAATCTTTCAAATTTGACACTTTACCTTATGTAAAAACAGTTTATTTGTTTTGGATTGTGATATTTTGAATTATAAAAACTAATTAAAAACAAAAAAGCTCTTTTTTCTTTTTCTTTTTATTGTGCTTGCTTTTTTTTTGTTCTTTCTTTATTAATTTATTTAGCTCATCCTTTGATTTTCAAATTTTTTACTTTTATTATTATTTCATCTTTTTTCTTCATTTTTTCCTTCTAATTAAATATTTTATGATATATTTTTTCTTCAATATTTAAAAAGTGGTAATTAAATTGGTGCAATGGGTGCATCACTCTTAGGTTCTGGTTTAGCAAATTGCATTAATCTCTCAAATTTGAGACTTAACCTTAGGTAAAAACAGTTTATTTGTTTTGGATTGTGATATTTTGAATTATAAAAACTAATTAAAAACAATAAAACTCTTTGAATTTATTTGATAGCTTTTATTTGATTTATTTTTTTATCTTTATTATACCACTAATGCTATTTTATTTATTAATTTAAGAAATATTTTTTAATTTAAAAGTTTATTCTATTTTAATATTTATTTAAAATTTACACAAATTTATTATAAAATATTAGCCAAATCAATCAATCATAAAAATTTAAAGTTGTTAGCAAGTGTCTTAAATCAAAAAGATTAGTTGTCTTTGAAAAATTATTCTGATTATATATAAATCATGAAAAAAGGATGAATAAATATTTAATGTTTGAATAATATTATAATATTTTGAAAAGCTTTTTTTAATCTAAAATATAAATAAATAGATAAATTTTATTATTGATTTATATTTATAAATATCATTCATATTTATTTTTATAAGTAAATAAATTATTTATAAAAAATAAAAAAATTTAATTTACTTAAACTAATTAATTCCTCTTAAGGAACCCTCTTATTTCTCCAAAAACCATCAAATAATTTAAAACTTTGAGTGTTATATTATTTCTTAATAAATTATATAAATGCCAAGCTTTTATATTCCAGTTATATTTTAATCTGTAATATTATCCATCAATCATATTTCTATCTTTTTTTATTTATCATGATTAAATAGATACCATGATTTAAATAAAACCTCTGGGAGAAATCAAATTTTACTTTTTATTTTAACTTTTGTGGTTATTAATCTTATTATTTCATCTTTTTTCTTCATTTTTTCCTTCTAATTAACTATTTTATGATATATTTTTTCTTCAATATTTAAAAAGTGAGAATTAAATTGGTGACGAAGGTGCATCAGACTTAGGTTCTGGTTTAGCAAATTGCATTAATCTCTCAAATTTGACACTTGGCCTTTAGTAAAAACAGTTTATTTGTTTTGGATTGTGATATTTTGAATTATAAAAACTAATTAAAAACAAAAAAGCTCTTTTTTCTTTTTCTTTTTATTGTGCTTGCTTTTTTAGTTCTTTCTTTGTTAATTTATTTAGCTTATCCTTTGATTTTCAAATTTTTTACTTTTATTATTAATTAATTAATCTTATTATTTCATCTTTTTTCTTCATTTTTTCGTTGTAATTAACTATTTTATGATATATTTTTTCTTCAATATTTAAAAAGTAAGAATTAAATTGGTGCAATTGGTGCATCAGGCTTAAGTTCTGGTTTAGCAAATTGCATTAATCTCTCAAATTTGACACTTGACCTTCAGTAAAAACAGTTTATTTGTTTTGGGTTGTGATATTTTGAATTATAAAAACTAATTAAAAACATTAAAACTCTTTTTTCTTTTTCTTTTTATTGTGCTTGCTTTTTTAGTTCTTTCTTTGTTAATTTATTTAGCTCATCCTTTGATTTTCAAATTTTTTACTTTTATTATTAATTAACTAATTATTAATCTTATAATTTCATCCTTTTTCTTCATTTTTTCCTTCTAAGTAACTATTTTATGATATATTTTTTCTTCAATATTTAAAAAGTGGTAATTAAATTGGTGATGAAGGTGCATCAGGCTTAGGTTCTGGTTTAGCAAATTGCATTAATCTCTCAAATTTGACACTTGACCTTCAGTAAAAACAGTTTATTTGTTTTGGGTTGTGATATTTTGAATTATAAAAACTAATTAAAAACATTAAAACTCTTTTTTCTTTTTCTTTTTATTGTGCTTGCTTTTTTAGTTCTTTCTTTGTTAATTTATTTAGCTCATCCTTTGATTTTCAAATTTTTTACTTTTATTATTAATTAACTAATTATTAATTTTATAATTTCATCCTTTTTCTTCATTTTTTCCTTGTAATTAACTATTTTATGATATATTTTTTCTTCAATATTTAAAAAGTAAGAATTAAATTGGTGCAATGGGTGCATCAGGCTTAAGTTCTGGTTTAGCAAATTGCATTAATCTCTCAAATTTGACACTTTACCTTCGGTAAAAACAGTTTATTTGTTTTGGATTGTGATATTTTGAATTATAAAAACTAATTAAAAACAATAAAGCTCTTTTTTCTTTTTCTTTTTATTGTGCTTGCTTTTTTTTTTTCTTTCTTTGTTAATTTATTTAGCTCATCCTTTGAATTTCAAATTTTTTACTTTTATTATTAATTAATTAATCTTATTATTTCATCTTTTTTCTTCATTTTTTCCTTGTAATTAACTATTTTATGATATATTTTTTCTTCAATATTTAAAAAGTAAGAATTAAATTGGTGCAATGGGTGCATCAGACTTAGGTTCTGGTTTAGTAAATTGCATTAATCTCTCAAATTTGACACTTGGTCTTTTGTAAAAACAGTTTATTTGTTTTGGATTGTGATATTTTGAATTATAAAAACTAATTAAAACAATAAACTCTTTTTTCTTTTTCTTTTTATTGTGCTTGCTTTTTTTTGTTCTTTCTTTGTTAATTTATTTAGCTCATCCTTTGAATTTTAAATTTTTTACTTTTGTTATTAATTAATTAATCTTATTATTTCATCTTTTTTCTTAATTTTTTCCTTCTAATTAACTATTTTATGATATATTTTTTCTTCAATATTTAAAAAGTTATAATTCAATTGGTGACGAAGGTGCATCAGGCTTAGGTTCTTGTTTAGCAAATTGCATTAATCTCTCAAATTTGACACTTGACCTTCGGTAAAAACAGTTTATTTGTTTTGGATTGTGATATTTTGAAATATAAAAACTAATTAAAAACAATAAAGCTTTTTTTCTTTTTCTTTTATTGTGCTTGCTTTTTTAGTACTTTCTTTGTTAATTTATTTAGCTCATCCTTTTATTAACAATTTTTTTACTTTTATTATTAATTAATTAATCTTATAATTTCATCTTTTTTCTTCATTTTTTCCTTCTAATTAACTATTTTATGATATATTTTTTCTTCAATATATATTTAAAAAGTTGTAATTAAATTGGTGCAATCGGTGCATCAGGCTTAGGTTCTGGTTTAGCAAATTGCATTAATCTCTCAAATTTGACACTTGAACTTATGTAAAAACAGTTTATTTGTTTTGGATTGTGATATTTTGAATTATAAAAACTAATTAAAAACAATAAAGCTCTTTTTTCTTTTTCTTTTTATTGTGCTTGCTTTTTTTTGTTCTTTCTTTGTTAATTTATTTAGCTCATCCTTTGAATTTCAATTTTTTTACTTTTATTATTAATTAATTAATCTTATTATTTCATCTTTTTTCTTCATTTTTTCCTTGTAATTAACTATTTTATGATATATTTTTTCTTCAATATTTAAAAAGTGGTAATTAAATTGGTGCAATGGGTGCATCAGGCTTAGGTTCTGGTTTAGCAAATTGCATTAATCTCTCAAATTTGACACTTGAACTTATGTAAAAACAGTTTATTTGTTTTGGATTGTGATATTTTGAATTATAAAAACTAATTAAAAACAATAAAGCTCTTTTTTCTTTTTCTTTTTATTGTGCTTGCTTTTTTAGTTCTTTCTTTGTTAATTTATTTAGCTCATCCTTTGATTTTCAAATTTTTTACTTTTATTATTAATTAACTAATTATTAATCTTATAATTTCATCTTTTTTCTTCATTTTTTCCTTCTAAGTAACTATTTTATGATATACTTTTTCTTCAATATTTAAAAAGTGGTAATTAAATTGGTGATGAAGGTGCATCAGGCTTAGGTTTTGGTTTAGGAAATTGCATTAATCTCTCAAATTTGACACTTTACCTTCAGTAAAAACAGTTTATTTGTTTTGGATTGTGATATTTTGAATTATAAAAACTAATTAAAAATAATAAAGCTTTTTTTTCTTTTTCTTTTTATTGTGCTTGCTTTTTTAGTTCTTTCTTTGTTAATTTATTTAGCTCATCCTTTGAATTTCAAATTTTTTACTTTTATTATTAATTAACTAATTATTATATTAATCTTATAATTTCATCTTTTTTCTTCATTTTTTCCTTCTAATTAACTATTTTATGATATATTTTTTCTTCAATATTTAAAAAGTGAAAATTAAATTGGTGACGAAGGTGCATCAGGCTTAGGTTCTGGTTTAGCAAATTGCATTAATCTATCAAATTTGACACTTGGCCTTTTGTAAAAACAGTTTATTTGTTTTGGATTGTGATATTTTGAATTATAAAAAACTAATTAAAAACAATAAAACTCTTTTTTCTTTTTCTTTATATTGTGCTTGCTTTTTTAGTTCTTTCTTTGTTAATTTATTTAGCTCATTCTTTGATTTTCAAATTTTTTACTTTTATTATTAATTAACTAATTATTATATTAATCTTATAATTTCATCTTTTTTCTTCATTTTTTCCTTCTAATTAACTATTTTATGATACATTTTTTCTTCAATATTTAAAAAGTGGTAATTAAATTGGTGATGAAGGTACATCAGGCTTAGGTTCTGGTTTAGCAAATTGCATTAATCTCTCAAATTTGAAACTTGACCTTGGGTAAAAACAGTTTATTTGTTTTGGATTGTGATATTTTGAATTATAAAAACTAATTAAAAACAATAAACTCTTTTTTCTTTTTCTTTTTATTGTCTTGCTTTTTTTTGTTCTTTCTTTGTTAATTTATTTAGCTCATCCTTTGAATTTCAAATTTTTTACTTTTATTATTAATTAATTAATCTTATTATTTCATCTTTTTTCTTCATTTTTTCCTTGTAATTAACTATTTTATGATATATTTTTTCTTCAATATTTAAAAAGTGGTAATTTAATTGGTGCAATAGGTGCATCAGGCTTAGGTTCTGGTTTAGCAAATTGCATTAATCTCTCAAATTTGACACTTGAACTTATGTAAAAACAGTTTATTTGTTTTGGATTGTGATATTTTGAATGATAAAAACTAATTAAAAACATTAAAACTCTTTGAATTTATTTGATAGCTTTTATTTGATTTATTTTTTTATCTTTATTATACCACTAATACTATTTTATTTATTAATTTAAGAAATATTTTTTAATTTAAAAGTTTATTCTATTTTGATATTTATTTAAAATTTACAAAAATTTATTATAAAATATTAGCCAAATCAATCAATCATAAAAATTCAAAGTTGTTAGCAAGTGTCTTAAATCAAAAAGATTAGTTGTCTTTAAAAAATCATTCTGATTATAAAGAAATCATGAAAAAAGGATGAATAAATAATAAATGTTCGAATAATATTATATAATATTTTGAAAAGTTTTTTTTAATCTAAAATATAAATAAATAGTTAGATTTTATTATTGATTTATATTTATAAATATCATTCATATTTATTTTTATAAGTAAATAAATTATTTATAAAAAAATAAAAAAATTTAATTAGGAATACTTAAAAGTATCAGATATAAATTTAATAATATTATTTTTATTTTGAAATTTTTGCGGTAAATAATTATCTTACGATTTAAACAAATATTTTTTATCTTATTATAAAAGGTAAGGGAAAATAAGTAAAACATTAAAAATAATAATAATTAACTATAAAAAAAGATAGACTTAAAAACAATAATGAGAGACATAATTTATATTTCTTAAAATTAAGTAAATAAATTAATTTTATGTAGCTTTTTTAACAAACTTTTATATAAAAGTTTCTTAATACTAATTTAGATGTATTACTGCAGAAATTATCTTTAGAGTAAAATAAATAAATAAATAAATAAATAAATAAATAAATAAATAGAATTTCATTTTATGTTTTGAATAAATTATCTTTTAAAAAGAATCGCTGATAAAAATAGTGAGATTTTGCATAGTATTTCCTAAAAGTTAGACCTTTTCTTTTGTCAAATTTATAATACTTAAATTTAAAATTATGGTATTTTTATTAATTTATGTTTAAAAACATCCTCAAAAATGTTAATTATTACAAAAGGGTTGAACTAAAATAAGGTGATTTTTCTTGTATGATGAATGCTATTTAAAAGCTAATATAATTAAAATCTCTCTAAATTTAATAAAAATCTCTCTAAATTCCTTGTTAAATGTAACTTACTTTTTTTATTTTTATGTAAATATTTAAATTTTTTTCAAAAATAGAGAGTACTTATCTTTGAATGAAAGTAAAAAAATATTATAATAAGAAGTAAGAGCGTTTAAAAAAATAGGATAACTTAAGAATTTAGTTAATTTAAAGTTAAATGTAAGGTATTTATTTATTGATTTAAACTCTGATAATTAATTTTGATAGCTTTTTAAACCATTTTATATATAAAATAATAGTTATTTTTAGCTCTAAGATTCTGATGTTACTCATTTATGTAAAGGATTAAAATAATGTATAAATTTAGAGTAAATAGAATTCACAATACCGTAATTAATTAATCAACTATTTATATTTAATTTTAAATAGAATTTCATGACAATATATAATAGAATTCTAAATAATTGAATATTAAAAAAAAACTGTTTAATTTAAAAGTAATGGTATTAAAAGTTTTGGTTTAACTGAATTGAGTTAAACTCTATCACAAGTTTCTTAATTTACAAAAATTGCTTCTTAAATTAAAAAAGTAAGTCTATCTATAGTTTTTTATAGATAAAAATAACTTTTTATTTATTAAAAAAATATTTATTTGTAAATTTCCTAATCTATTTCTAAAATTTAGATTTTTCTCAATGACAGACTAACGCATCTATTCTATAGGATCTAATTTAGCCAAAAACCAATCAATTTAAGAATTATCACTTATAATTACTTAAGAGTAAATAATTTATTTTTAAATTAATGATATTTAATTTTTTATGATTTTATATTAGGAAAAATAAACATTAGAGTAAAGCTTTCACTGATAAAGGCATTTCAAATTTTGCAAATTAGATAAGTCAAATAAAAACATTGAAATCCCTAGAATTGAATTTAAAGTATTTACAAAATTATTTTGTTATTTTTTTTAAGTTATATTTTGAAAAAAAAAAATTTTAATTAGTCTTTGTAGTACAAAAGCAGCTACTGGACTTGGTAAAGCAATTGGAAAAATAAATAACCTTTCTTCTCTAGTAATAGAGTATAGGGATATATTTGAAATCTAAGAATTTGAAAAAGAAATTAAAGAACTATAGAAATGCTAAAATTTAAGATATGTATCAATTAAAAGGTATATCTAATTAAATAAATTTTGTAACAATATTTAAAATATGATAATTCGTAGATAGATTGAAGCTAGTATATTTAAGAGTCTTTGGAAACCTAAAAGATTAGTGAATTATTAAATAAGAGAATCTGATTTATGACTATCCTTAAATAAAAAAATAGATTAATTTATTATATCTCTCTATCTGTATATTTACTGCAAATTCTCATTAATTAAAGCTCCATTTTTAATATTTCATAAGCTCATTTTTTATTATTAAAATTTTTTTTCTAATTTAACGATTGAAATTTTAACAGAATAATAAAAAAAATGATACAATATATTAAATTTTTTTTAAAAATTATTAAAAAATTAATTGTTAAATAATTTATTTAAAGCTTTTTTATATTGAAAATTAAATAAAAATACTTAATTATAAAAAAAGTTACATAGTATTTTAATAATTAATTAAAAAGTATCTGAAGTATTTAGAATATTTTTATTGAAAGTTAAATTTAAAAGCATCACATCATTTTAACCTTTTTTTAAAAAGTAATTCATTATTAGAATAAAAGATAAAACAAAGGTATCTAATAGTATTCATATAATACTATTTCTTTTTCTTTTTCTTTTTCTTTTTCTTTATCATTTTATATTTATTCTTAGATATTTTTTTATACAAAAATATTTATTAATACTAAGATATTTATATCTTATTATTTTGGATCAAAGTTTAAATCTTTAAATTCTTTTAAAAAGTCATTTTATATTCCTTCTTTTTTTTATTGATCAAATTTATAGCTTTCTAAGTATTCATATAAAGTTTATTTTGAAACAATTTTGAATAAAGTTTATTTTGAAACAATATTAAACTTGATCTGATCACTCGAATTCTCTAAATTTAAAAATTTTTTAAATTCTGATATACTTTTTTCACTTTAAATTAAAAAGAAGTAAGGCTTAAATCCTACAATTTCCCAATTTTTTAATAGGCAAAGGAATTAGGTATGGCTACTTGAAAGTTGGTTCAAGAAATAACTGTTATTTTTGAGTTAAATAACCTTTTTATTTAGTTTTTATTAAGCTTCCTGCAATATTTCAAACCAATTTTCATTGTAGAAATTTTAGAGTTAGCTTATTTCATTTTTTTCAAAGTTTTTAATTCTATTTATAAATTAAAAAATTAAAAAATAACTTAAATATTTTTAACTAATTTATTTTACGAAGTCTTTGAGTCAGATGTAATAATATAGAAGCATTCTTCCTATTAATGCTTAATAATAGTGTATTTATTCATTTTAAAGATTTATAACAAAAATTTCCTCAGTTTAGGAGTGTAATAGAAAAATGTCAATGATTTTTCCTTTTTACTCATTTCTTTTTAGTTTTGTTTAGCTTTTTCAAAAGTGGTTCTCCTAAATTTGAAGAAAATTTCTAAATTTTTCTTAGCTTTATCATAGTCTTTCTTTTCAACAAGTAGTTTTAAATGATATTTTTCACTTTAATTTTTTTTATCTTCACGCTTAAAGTTGTATTTGATGTGAACTTTTTCGTGCATATACTCTTCATTACCAAAGCATGAATTTGAGTCTGATATCAAGGCTTATCTATTAATTTAGATTTTTTCCTTTACTTTTTGAAAGTGAGGATGAGTGACAGATTCAATCCAATATTTATCTTTATAAAAAATAATTTTATACAATCCTTCTTCAAAAATTAGACCTTAAATAGTTTTATTTTTTGTTGATTCTTCTGTAGCATGTAAGATAATATCACTGATATTATAATTATTTATTGATTTAAAAACATTCCTCATTTCTTATATTAATTATTCCAGCTAAGGGTAAAGTTTGAAGAATGAATTAAAGTTTATAGAAATATTCAAAAATTATATTATAACTTCTTCATTCTAAAAGTCTATTCTAACTTCTCTTTCTTTTATTTAATTATTTGTAGTTGGGTTTTAATCTTCTCTAAACATAAAATTATAAATTTTATTTTCTGATTCATTCTAATTTACATCTCTTTATCTTATAAAATCTCTGTAGAAATAATCAATGATTAAACAGTTTGTTTAATCAAACTATAAATGTTAGCTTTTGCCTTCTTTTTCTTTTACATAATACCATTATGCATTTTCAATCGCTTAATTTAAAAATTTTTCTGATTATGCCTTTTCATGATTCTTAAATATCTAAAGTGTATTCTAAATTTCTTCTTCAGCTTTCTAGACGTCATTTTACCTACCTTGCTTAGGTTATTCTTATAGATTTTAAATTGAATTTATTTTTTTGAGAAAATCTCGTTCTTGCTTATCTTCGTCTATTTTAATAAAATATATTTTTACTAGCAAACCTTCTTCTTTTAAGGATTAAACATAACTATTTTCCAAAGTATAAAGCAAACAATAAATTAATTAAGATCTTATTTCTTTGTCATTGACCATAATATGTATATTATTTTAATTTAGAATTGCATTCAAGAAGATATCATTAAAGAATTCTTATCTAATCTAATTAAACTAGTTTTGATTTGCAAAATTATCAAAGTAATCAACTAAATTTTAACCAATTAACACTAAAGAGTTTTCATTAGCTATATCTTAGTTAAATTCTTTTTCCTTTATTTTTATATGAACTTGCTGCTAATCTTTAATTTGAGATAAATTTTATTTCAACTAAATTAAATCTAAAAACTTGTTCTCAATTTAATTTGACTTGGTGGTTTCATTCTTATGTATATAACCCACTAGCCTATCCTTTTTTGAGCAACATATTTCGTCAAGCCTAAGTTTATGATCCTCATATGAGTGATCTAGTATAATTAAATTCTAAGAAGCAGACCCCTTTAGAATATTTTTTGTTTCTATCTCGTAACTTTATAAAGAAATCATTTATATAGATATTTCTCTTTAAAATACCTGAACATTTTCCCTTTATATAATCTGTTAATTTAAACTTTCATTGTATTTATTTATCTAATTTTAAGACAAAATTATCTTGAAATCTTTATTTATCTGGTTGCTCCTCAATCTTTATAGGTCAATTAAGTTATTTTTAAATTCATAAATAATATCTGACAAATAATACTGCAAATAAATTTAACTGTTTTTTAAATTTCTATCTAATAATTCCTCCTCATCCTATTAATCACTTTATTCTTACTCATTAGAACAAAATACTTCTTGCATGAGATAATCACCCTTCTAGGTAAACATTTCTAAGTCATCTTCTGTCAGCTCATAGTTTAATTCGCTAACCTCTTTTTTTATATCTCTTAAGTATTTTTCAATTTTTTATTTTATTTTTTCTTTCTATTTGTTTTAAATATTAACTTAATTTTTTTTAAAATTAACTATTGTAAAATTTAATAAAGCAAAAAATTAATTAATTAATTACTTTCTTCTTTGGACAAATTAAGCAAATTTAATTATAATTTGAATCATCTAAGGCTTCCAAAACGATAGAAAATTTATACTTAGATTGCATTTTAATTATTTTTCTTTATTATTTTTAACTGAAGATGGTGAAGAAAATTTAATGAGCCACAAAATCTTCTTTGACCATTAAACCCTCCCTCGCATCATTAAAACTTTGACTAAATTTATCAAACCTCCTTTGAGTGCATTCAAACTCTATAAAACCGTTGGATTTGCTTTATTTTATATCTAATTTACAAATTTTAGTTAAGAATTCTTCTTAAATGTTTGAAAGACCATCTTAATCAATTTCAATTCTTCTACTTTTTTCTTTAAATATGTCTTCAAATATATCCCTATGTTAATTTTTAAAATTAATATATGAGATCTTAAAATTTTCTTCATCTTAGTTTTTATTCTCTTTGTCTTTTATCGGTACAATTAATTTCGAATAGACATCTAAAGTTATGTCTAACAAAATAATTTAAGTTTTTTCCTCATTTTAAAATTCTTAATTTAATTCAACTATGTCTTGCTTCATTTGTTAAATTTTGCTCCAGGGCATGTTAATTGATTTAATAACAATGCAAGAGTTGTTTTTTAACTGATAGACTAGTTGATCAATTAAATTGGTTCCTTCTATGTCACCTTTTATTCAGTAATTAAGTAAATTTAAATTATAAAATACTTTTAAAATTAGGATAAAAAATAAATTATAAATTACCAAAGATATTTATTAAATCTTCTTGAATCTCAATAAATACATTGTATTTATTGAAAATCATTTAATCAAATTGGAACTCATTTACTAAATATATTATTTTATCTAAAATCTCTATTTCATATTCATCAAACTATCTAAACCTATCACAATTTTCTTCTTCAATTAATTTACCTATTTCCTTTAATGATAATTATTTTTATTATTATTTACCGCCTTCCTCTGCTTAAGAATATATTAGTTCTTTTGTAATGTTTTCTTTATTTTTTTCCTCTTCTACCTCTTCTTTCTATATTCTTTTTCTCATTAATACAATTGCATCATAATCTTCATATTTTTATGAGTCACTTTCTTTATTCGACTAATCATTATTATCTTACTTCTACTCACTATTTCTGATTAGATCATCATGATCTTTATCAATTTCCTTTTACTATTATTACTCTAATTTTTCAATTTATTTACTATCTTAGATAGCCTTTTATTCTTAAAACTTCAGTATTTTAACATAGGCGAACTTTTATTTAAGACTAAGCTACTCTATAAAAGGCTCATATATAGATTAAGGCTTTACAGTCACTATTTCAAATTGATTTACATAATCTTAGATTACTTAATTTATCTTTTCAACATAGTTATTATTTTCGGAGTAAATTTCCAAATAAATAATACCATTATCAAGATCAATATCAGTTATACTTACTTCAAAAAGAATCTTTTCTTAAAGAAAGTAATTAATTTCTTTTTTTACTATGCTATAGGCCTCTTTACTCTCCTTACCTAATTTATCTGCATAAATACATATTATTGATAGAAGATCTTAAGTTAATTACGAATCTTCTATCAGATAAGTCTTGTGTATCAAATACTTCTACTAAATAGATTAACAGTAGTTTTTAAATTTCTTATATATTTTGTGAAAATGTGTGCTTCTTAACAATTAATTATTACCAAAGTGATTCCATTATTTGAAGTTACTTAATTTTGTTTAATTTATTTCATTTAGGTTATTCAATAGTTTTATCTCTATCTTAACGCTTTACTATAGATCAAGATATTCCATAAAATCAAAAAACTCTTCGTTCACTTAAAGATAATACAAGAACTCTCTAAAGCTAAATTCTTAAATCTTTGACATTTACTTCTTTTTTTTAACTTATTTAATTTACTTGATCAAAAAAAGATTTGTTATTTATTTATTTATTAAAAATATTTACTTAATTATGAGATTCTTTAATTTCTTTTGATTAATTTTACATATTAAAACAATTAAATAAAATATATTTAATTTTATTTTTATTTTTAAACATAAATATTTTGTTTTTTCTTCTATTTAAATTCATTTTTAAAATGTTTTTAAAAAAATAAAAAAAGCGCTCGATGTAGGGATCGAACCTACGACCTTGCGGTTAACAGCCGCATGCTCTAACCAGCTGAGCTAATCGAGCTATACAGTTTGTATCTGTTTTAACTGATAATGAAGTCATTCACTTGACAATTAAAATAATTTGTTGTTTATCTATACTCTAATTTTCATCTAATTATTTAAATAAACATTAAAAAATGAAAAAAAAATTAATTACTTAAATATCTAATTTCTAAGCAAGAAGAATATGGCTAAATTGATTTGCTTAAGTTTTAAAAAAAATAAATTTCTTTTTAAAATTATTCTAAATATAAAATGGAAAAATATTTGTTAAAAATAATATTTTATTTTTTAAATAATTTCAAAGCATATATTTAACTCTATAAAGTAAAACTAAATCATCATTTTATATAGCTGATCTTGCATTTTAAATAATTTTTCAATTATGTATTTTCAACAGCTTAATTATTTTCTTTTTAAAAATATTTTAAAAATAAAAAATTTCTATTTCAAAAGAACAATTTTTTCAGAGGTATCCTATTATTAGCAATTTTTAAGTCTGAAATTAAAAATTTAAAAAAAATCTAAATATATTTTCCTTGATGCAACATCATCATTTCTAAACTTTTTTTATTTATTTATTAATGTTATTATTGATATTTAATATTTAAAATCATCCTAATAAGGTAAACAATCAATTGATAAAATTATTTTTTTTGATGGTTTTTGTAATTTAATCCAAGTGATTCAAATAAAATACACTCTCAAATTGATTAATTTAAACAAATAATACAAAAATTTTGTTCGCTTATATCTTATAAAATCAGTAATAATGATTCTCATTACAAATTAATAATTATTAATTTAGAATATTATGATCAAAAATGTTCAAGAATTTTCTAAAAACTTTTAAAATAGATTGTTGAATTTAATTTTGAGATTTTAAATATCTTTTTATGTTAAAGAAACGAATCACTATCATAGAGAAAAGAAATTAGGATAATTTTAATGGAGGTATTTGTACATTTATAATATTTTAAATTCATAAGCTGATGATGAATAATTTTTTAGCAATATCTTTCATTTAAAAGAATAAAGCTATTGTTTTAAGTTATAGATAATCAAATATATTTCAATAGATAAAAAGATAAACAAATAAACAAACAAAATCAGCAATTAGTTTTTTTAATTAATTAAAAGTATATTTGTACTTTAGTGTTAAAAAGTTAAATAACAAGTTTATATAGTTAATAGTTGAGAAAGTTTTAGTTAGTTCAATATGTAAAGCTTAATGAGAATTCTTGATTTATGAATAAAATATTTATTTTATTAATAGTAAAATAGTTTAAGCAAGTAAAACCAAATCAAATATGCTTGAGCAACAAATAAAGAAACTCTTATATGGCTTTTTGCAGGGTATTATTGAGGTATTTATTGATAGTGGATTTTAAAGAAATATCATTCCTCTAAATAAAACAATTTACTTATTGTTTAAATAATTTAATGAGTTAAATGTGTTGGATTAAGCAATTTTAATTTTTATTTGTATAAATCTAAGGATTTTTCTGAGAATGACATAGAGTTGAGCAAATGGAAGGGGACTTTAGAGTTAAAAAATCTAAATATTAAAAAAGATTATCTCACAGATATTGGAGTTAAAATAGGTCAGAAAAGTTATTTATAATTATTTAAAATTATGAATTAAAATTCAAAAGTTGTTCTTTAGTAATCATTTTTATTAAATATTTCTTCAAATAGGGTTTCCTTTAGTTAAAGAGTCTGCTATAATTGAAAAACTTTAACTTTCTATTCCTTGGACGAAAATTAGGAGTGAACCAATTGTAATTAAAATAAAAGGGATAAAAGTTGTATGTAGAACAAGCGGACAATATAATTAAGAATTCTTTGAAAAGAGATTAAGTGCAAAAAAGTATGAGCTTTTATAAAAGCTATTGAAGCAAATAGAGCTAGATATTCTAAAAAGGAAATCTGAAAAGTTTAATATTAAAGAAACGAATTAGAATTTATATGATTAGGATGATGAAGACGATGATGATTCTAAAAAAGAAGGATAATCCTAGTAAAAGGGAGAAAATGAAGCAAATTTTATTAAAAAAAAAATGAACATTTATAAGAATTATATAGGATAAGTAAAGGATATAATTTTATAGAATATTAGAATTGAAGTAGAAGATGTGGTTCTAAAGTTATAAGTATTCCTTTTCTTTTTTATAAGAAAATAATTAATATTTTTTCTAATTTGAAATTTCTCAGTTGATAAAGATAAACTATTAATTAATTTTTGATATAAATGAGTAAATAATATATCTGTTTAGTAGAATGCAGTAGAAATAATTTAATATATCATATATTTTGCCTTATCTTCCTTGCAAAGCATATTAGAATTTTTCAACTAAATTAATAAATAAAGATTGCATTCGAAAACTTCTAAAGTTTGTCTTTTTCAATTTTGAGATCAAGAAATTTATAATTTAATGATTAACATAAATATGTAAATAATAGGATGAAGGAATAGCCACTCAACATAATTTTATTTAGCTTGGAGTAGCTTTTGAGAAGCTTCTTATAAGTCCTGCAAACAGCGATTTTGAACCTGCATTTATAAATCCTGATTAAATTAAAAAAGAATAAAAAAAATACTAAATTTATAAGCTAACAAAATTTGAAGTATTTGCTAATTAAGATTCATTTTTAGATTACTAGAATCTAGATTTCGACAAGCAGTATATACTTCACCCTGTGGATATAGATATTTAAAAGACTAGAAATAATAACAAGGAAGAGCTTCAGACATTACCTTAAAAATCAACTAAAGTTATTATCAGTTAAGTTAGAGTTGAATTATTTGAAAAGTAATTCAAGCATATAAGAAATTTATTAAAATACAAAAATTGGAATTGTGACATGGGATTAAATCTTCATCTTCGTCCTGATTACAATGAACATGTTTTGGGAAATGCAAAGAAATGGCTTGATTATTTATTTAATTCTCTAAAATTTAGAATAGAATTAAAATAAGTAAATAAAATAAAATTGACTCAAGCAAGAAAAGTTGTTACACAAATCAAAGAATATATTTCTGTGTACAAACAAAAGCTTGAATTTGAGCTAGAACAGAAGATGGCAGCTTATAAATTTGCTAATTCAAATCTAAACTATAACGAATTACAAAAATAGCAAAAAGATTTTACTGTTGAACACAAAAAAATAGATATAAATGAAATAGAAAAAGAATTGGAAGAGGTAGAAAGGGATCTCCTTAAATATATGATATAACCAGTTGACATAATTTGTTTTAGAGATTTAGCTAAAAAATAATTTAGAAAGGAACAAAGTTAATAATTTTAAAATCTTCTTAAACTCAAAAAAGAAAATAAGAATAAGCAGCTAGAAAAATAAAAAGCTAAGAACATATTTTAAAAGGCTCTTTAAAAAGAAAAAATAAAGAATGTTTTTAGTTGGTTAACATCTAAAATAAGAAGAAAATCCTCTATTTCTTCCACCAATCGAAATATATTGAGTGAAGAATAAATTTTATAAATTGAGGAGGAAGAAAAAGAATAGCTTCTTTAATAGGAATTCAATTCATTAATAGAATCTTACACTGAAGGGCAGTCATAATCAATATCAAAAGAGCAAATGAAGTATTTTATTTATGATTGATTTTTTTGATAAAATTAAATTTAAAAAATATGAATTAAATTTAAAAAATAATTCATATTTTTTAATTAAGATTGAATTTTATAACAAACAAATGGAAAATCTATCAATCTATCTATCTTTTAATCTAAAATTAAAAATAATTTTTTTATTTTAATTGCCAAAAAGAGGATAAACTTACATTAAAAATAAGATATCAGTTGAATTCAAAGATGATATAAAGATTTCGTTAATGGGTGTTAATACTAGCTCAAAAAGCAATTAGAATACGAATATAAATAATTTAGAGTAAGAAAGGGAAAATTTTGTGAATAGTAATTAGATTCCCAATTTAAAGAATAGTAATTCTGGGAAGTTTTAAAGAAATGAGTCAAAGGAATTTAATTATGAGCTTCTTCACATCAAAATAAAAATATAATAATGCATGAAGATTGCAACTAACATAAACACGATGATAAAATTTGTTATTAGTGAATTTGACTGTCGTCACTCAATTAATTCTAATGAAGACTATAAAAAAACTCTTAGTAATCTCGATAGAGAAAAAAATATTCATAAACCTTCACTCTCTCTTAAGATAATTACATAAAAAAACAAATAAACAAATTAAGTGAGCTATAGATTTTCTTTAAATATTGCAAGTCATAGATTTGTTTTAACAGATGTATTTTTCTCAAGTATCGCTTCTTTTTTTTCAATGAAATAAGTAAACAAATTTAGCACAGCAACAATTACTTAAAAGTATTTTTATATAATATAAAATAAAATTAGAAATCGAGATCATTCTTGGAAGATTTCAATGTTAAAACTAAACAAGTTAAGCAAAAAATAGATTTGTATTTAGCTTAATAAATTAGAAAAATATTTGGTCATAAAATAACTTTTGATAAAGTCGATGTTAAGTGTGGAAAGATGCTGTTTATTTTTCCTGAAAAGTTTTCAGATACACAAAAGCCTTTAATTGAATTTGTGATAAAATCACTCTTTCTATCAAATAAATAGATAGATAAATAAAATTTAAAGAAAATAATATAAAATGATAGAAAAAAATATAAAGATTATAATAGCTTACAAATAATGGACAGCTTTATTCAACAAAACCTTAACAGCAATGTAATTTTTTAACTTCGATTGTTAATTTGTAAATGTATTTTTTTATTTTTATTTAATAGAATAATCCTGATAATACTATTTATAAATCTTTTCTGAAAGAATCTGATTTAATGTACAGCATATAAAATGGATAGCAATCATGTTTTACATACAAAACAGATTAATTTTAAAGTGTTTTAGAAATTAATCCAGCTTTTAACCAAACCAAAGAGGATGATTTTGATGACCTTAAATCTTTAGTTTAAGAAGGTTAATCAGATGGCGAAGACTCAGATCATGACTCATACAAAAATAAAGTTTATATAAATCATCAAGCAATAAATAACAACTTAGAAAGCAAAGAACCTGCTAAAATTTTAACCAAAGAAGAAAAGGAATAAAAAATAATTAGAAAGCTTCTTGAAAATAATTATTTTTAAAACTTGAAGAATTCTTAACTTAACGAGTCAAGAATAGAAAATCTTTAAATCAATTTTATTGTATCAAAAATATCAACGCGTTTTTGTCAAAATGTAAAATAAATTCATTCAAATAAATGTTTTTTCATTAAATAAATTGCAAAAAAAGGGTTTTAATACAAAAAAAGACGAGAAATATAAAATTTTAGAAGACTTTTAAATTGAAACTTGCTTAAAGAGAGACTTTGAGCATCAGTAATTCGAAGATAAAATTGATTTTGATAATATTCTTCCAGTTAAAAGTAAAAGTTAAGAAAATAAATTAAATGAAATACCTGCTACTGTTGCTGCATAAAAGTAAGAAAAAGAAATAAAAAATGAGAAAAATAAATTGCCTAAGAAAAGGCAAACTGTCTCTTTAGATGAGTAAAATTATTTAAAATTAATTAGGATTATTACTTAAGCATTTTATTAAAGTTTTTAAGGTCAAATGATTACAGAGTATTTTGAAAAAGACAAATATATTTCAAAAGTTTAGCTAGCTGTTGAGATGAAAATTAACTTAATTGGAATCAATATTTATTTAGAAACAAATGAATAGATTATCAAGATAATTACTCAATATAATAAAATTTTTACTAAAAAGGAAAATATTCATAATGAGCTATCAAATTTTGTCTATTAACAAAATTAATATTTTAACTAAGATAAAATTATTGATGAAGAAAATCATTTTGAGAATAATTCCAATTTAAGCGAATAGAATTTTAAGAGTGTTCTTGGCTCTCCTTTGGATTTATTGCAGCATCAAGAAAATTAACAATAAGTTTAAAATAACAGACTCAACACTACATATTAAACTCTTAGGGATGAAGAGTTTTTTGACGCTGTTGAAGATTTCTCTCAGTTTTTTAAATAGCATTCATAAATATTTTAACATCCTCCTCTTAGTAATATAGAAAAATCTCACTTAAATGGAAATTATTTTTACGAAGGCTAAAATATTAAGCAAGATAGAGGATATTTAAATACAAACCATATTAAATACAACAGTGAAGAAATGAAAAAGAGAATGGAGATTATACGTTTAGCACGTAACTAGAGTTATATAGGTTAATTGCATTCATAATATTTAAGATAAAAAATGATAAAAAAATCTTCAAGCAGGTTCTTCTAGAGTGAATAAATTGGTGAAGGATATGATGAGGAAGAAACAAATAAAAATAAAATAAGTAATAATTAATAAATCAAAGACATGCATTAGGGTTAATAAAGTGTAGATGAAGATATTGATGCTGAGTAATTTGAGTAATAGCTTAGTTTAAGAGATTTGATCACTTTAGATTTCACATTTAATTTAGATGAATTCAGAATTTATGTTTTATCATCAAAGAAATAACATAGAAAGAATAAAAATCAAGACCAAGCACAAACATTAGAGGTAGGTGATATTTAAGTATAACTACCCAAGAAAACATCTGCTTTGATAGTTACAAATGCTAGTATTAATATTACCTTCATGCCTAGTTTTAGTGGAAACAACTAAAATTTTAATAGTAAGAGCGACTTTACTAATTCAATGATTAGTCTAGAAGAGCAACAGAAAATGGAAAATCAATCAATAAAACTTGATTCGTAGTAAAATATTTAGTAATAAATACTTTTAACTTAAAATAAAAACAATCTGGTTAAAAGTGAAAATTGCTTAGAAAAACTGTCTAGAAAAAAGAGCTTAGATTTTATTTTAGATTAAACTACAAATCATGTGATCAAAACACAAGTTGAAATTGACTAAGTGTACATAACAATATATAAAATAGACAAGATTTTATAATTATTTAATAATTAAAATGAAAATTAAGCTCTAAACAAAGCTAAAAATTCAGAAAAAACAGATAAGCAGCCATAATAATAAATTGATTGTGGTAAATCAGCAGAGTAAAAAGATCAAAAGATTTTAAGCAATTTAAAAACTATTTTGCTAATTAAGGACAGCGAAATAAATATAAATTTTATGTTAAAGAAAGGTAGTCTTAAGTTTTAAGACAGTAGAAAGCAGATTAAGGAATTTAAGGAATTTGTCGAGTTGTCTGTTGATGATGTCAAACTTGAAACTGATGAGAATGTCCCTATAAAATTTGATTTTTCAGAGCTAAGATATATCGAATAACTTGAAAGTATCATGAATTATGTTTAATATAAAATCTAGCTAGGCTGGAGCTTTAATGCATCATATACCAACATGTATAATAAACAAACAGAGCCTTTTGTAGAAGACATGAAAATTAACTTGGAACTCATTTAGTAAAATTACAAAAAAGAAATTATTTATGAGTGTTAAAACGATATCCTAGTAAACTTTCATCCTGCTCTTATTGACAATATCTTCATATTGTAGCAATCATTTTTGAAAGTGAGTAAAAACAAAAATAAAGAAAAGGGATAAAACTAAAAGAAAGCAGATAACTAATAAAATGATTACTAATATGAGATATCTAATTAAACTGGCATAGCTTTCAGGATAGAATTCCCGAGAGGCACAAAATTAAAAAGTAGATAATTGGGTAGCTTAAACCAAAATTATTATGAGTTTTAAGCAATATAAATAGAAGTTAAGCCAGATGTTTAATATCTTATTCAATTTTTAAATGATCCAAAATATAAAAATTAAAAAATATAATATAGCAGTCATGATATTAAAGTTATTATTAATAACTAAACTACAATTATAGATTTATTATAAAGTAGTAGAGATACTTATATTAAACTTAATGGAGATTCTAGTATTGTCTGTCAGCCCATCACATATAATGATAGAAAAATAGTTTTTAGATCTAACATTAAGCTTACCAATCTAACTCACTTTAACTTTAATTTTTCATTTTCTCATAAGGAAGAATCATTTTTATAAAAAGAATCTATTGATTAACAAAGTAATTAAATTAATAATAAAGAAAATAATGTTCAAATTTAAGTCAAAAAACTAAGTGAACAATATATTCCTCTACAACTCTTTTAGTTGAAATACCTTCATGTCAAAGACCAAGATAGAGATAGTAAAAGCTAATAAACACATACACACTTTTTCAAGGATAATATTTTTAATTATATTCCAATTATGGTTTCAATGGTGATGCCTTCTGATCCTATAAATAGCAGTCAATCTATTAGTAAAATATTAAAATTTATTTAATTATTAATTATTGAACTTTTTAAATACATTTAAAAGCAAACACCAACATCTCTTTATTATGAAATTTTTATAAATTAAAAAATTTTATCAAAATTTTAATTTTAATTTTTGAATATTAATTAATGCCATTCTTGATTTAGGGAATACTTTTCAATCTATATTTATTTAAAATAATTTAAATTTATAAATTAATGAACTTAATTAGAATTTTTAATGATATAAAAATCAATGTTTTAGATATTTTTACTGTATTAAAACGTTACTTGAGCATATAAATTTAAAATTTTTTAAATATGAATGAAATAAACTAAATTCTTTCTTTTAATTAATAATTTTATTTGTGTAATAAAGACGAAGAAAAATAGTAAAATGAAGCTGCACGCCAATCTTATATAATTATTAGAAGGTTAAGAAATGAAAGCAATAATATGCATACTTAAAAAGCTGTAGCAAATGGTTTTCAAAATGTTTAATTACTTTCTACTGAATCAAGAGAAATATAAATTGTTATTTAGTATCCTATTCTTTTACATAATGTGAATCCTTTACCTTTGGATATTTCATTCTTATATCCTAACGAATATGAAAACTATATAAATAATAGAGGACCTTAGATTCTTTTTTACAAAAATCTTATGAAAATAATCAAAGATGATAAATAATAGTAAATTTAAGATGAAAGCGATCATGAAGAAGATCATGATGATGATGATGAAGATGCTCTTTGGAAAAAATTAAATTATAACAAATATAAAATGAGTCTAGATAGTGGATAAAGTACATATTTATCTTCTTTTAATATCTTTTTAATGTGTAAAGTCAGTGTTGAACTATAAAGTTATCATTAGTTTAAACCGTTAGAGATATTTGATTACAAAACTATTAAAACTTACTGGGACTTTTTAATGTCTTCATAGATATACATGGAGTAACAGTATAATAAAATTAATGGGGAAAAATTAGATTATTCTAATGAGCCATTAAATTAAAAAACAAATTTTAATAGAAATAGTCCAAATTACTCTATCTTAGAAAATTCAGAATTCGATTAAGAATAGCAATAAAATTTCTTAAAGTCAAGCACAGCATCTTAATTTGTCAATTAATAATAATAATAATAAAACGAAAACTTTTCTTAACAAACACCCAACTAGCTTCAAAATAATCCATTTTTAGAACCAATAATTAAATAAAAAACTCTTCAGCTTCTTAACAAAGAAGGAAAATAAATGAATTTAGTATTTGACATTAAATATTCATATGAAGGAATGCTAGAAATTACTTTAAAGTCACAATATTGGTTCCTTAACGAAACTGAATTCGCTTTAAACTTGCAAATCAAAGAAAACAGGTATTTATATCCAATAATTTCTTTGCCTAGTAAAAAAGTTGAAAAAACAACCTAATTTAAAGTTCCGAATAGCTACAATTCGAATATTAATTATATTTAAGGATCTTAGTCTGTTTAACAGACATCAACTAACTTCAACTCTTCTTAATAATTATTCCAGAGTAGCAATAAAGAAAGAAAAGACTAAGTTGGAGGATTTTAGTAAGAAAACATTTAAAGTTCTCACAAGAAATCTCCTAAATAAAATAATAACTTCCTTTCTACAGAAAAGCTAAAAGACAAAAAAAATTCCTTAGTAGGTCATGAACATATCAATATTAGATAATTTGATGACGGAAACACCTAACTTGATCCAGAGAAATAATAAAATGCAGACAATTAAAATGAGGAAACAGATATTAACTCAATAAAAAGTTCATATTTTGGTATAAATTCAGATAACTTTTCTATTGCACAGATAGAGCAGCTTTTTAAAACATAATCTCAAAATATTCAAATATTTACTGGTAATTTTTCTTCAGAAAAGCAATTCAGATTTGAAATCCCATAAGACGAGATATAATCTTTGTTATAGGTCTAGCCATACAAAGATAAGAACAACGAAGAAAACACTAATCATGATCATGGCTTCACTACAAATTTCATGTAATTACAATAAAAGAATGAAAATCTCAGCTTTAGGCATTTGAAATACCTTTCTGTGATGGCCAATTAAGTTTCTCTCCCAGAAAAATATTAAGGGATTAAGTTTTTTATATTAACTCCGATAATTATTATCAAGAATTCAAGCAATCATTTTCTTTCTGTAAACCAGTTCATTTCTTCTTAGCAGTCAATTGAAAGTTCTCTCTCTCCTCATTAGACTAGATAGCTTATATATGATTAAATTCACTATCCTTTCATTCAGCTCAAACCAGCTCACAATTTTAGTCTATGGTCATAGAAATTCCCAATCAACAAGCCATCTTAATTTATAATAAAGATCAATCATATTAATAAATCCAACTCATTTATACTACTCAGAATCACTGTAAAATTAAGCAATTTCCTGAATAAATAATTACCTTCCTTATATATTAAAAGATTTCTAAAGAATCCAGTCTAAATTTGATCACAATAGAAGATACAAATGAATATCCTCCATTTAAGATAGTAAATTTGACAAACGAAGAATTGGCAGTAAGCTAAAAAAATTTCCAGTAATATCTAACTTTTTTTTTTTAAGATTAACTTTTTATTTAGGATGAAAAATATGATGGAAAAATTAATAAAATGGATATTATTTTTTGTAACAATTTTATTAAATAAATTAACAGAAGCCAAAGCTTATTTGTGAAGATGCAACAAGATCCGAGAGAAATATAGAATAACATGAATTATGATGAAAAGCTGATAGATCATTTCTTAAAAGATTTTAGTCCATTTGGCTGGGATGATCCATTTGGAGAAGAAACTATTATGATCAGCACAATGGATTCTTTACTGTGCAATTTAACTAAAAAAGATTTTTAAGAAAAGAATTACACAAAAGTGGTGAGATTGATAGAAGATGATATTGTTATTAAGGTATTTTAGGATAAGCAATATCCAAAGACTAAAGTCATTATGATATTGTACGAAAAGAATCAAAAACTCTTTGATGAATACAAATTTGAAGAAAATATTTATTAGAATCTAACTTTTCGTCTCAATCTCAACAAAATTGGCATTTCTATTGTTGACAGTCATCCAAGGGAAATAATTTACTTTTAAATGGAATAAGTATAAATAAGTCTTAAATAGTTGAATAAAAGGTAATTTAAAATATTTCACAAAATGTATTAATTATTTTTTTAAACTTAGATTTGAAGTCTTGATTGAAGTTCAAGATATCTAAGGTGATTATCAAGCTGCAAAGCCTCTACCAACTCCATTCCTTGTCACCAAAAAGATTTAACATAAAGATAGGTCAGAGAAATTAAAAAAAATTAAGAATACAGAGAACGAAGAAGCCTAAAAATAAAATAAAATTGATGTTTAGAAATAGAAGGAAGCTAACTTCTTTTAGAAAATATATTCAAAAATATCTAGTTTATGGAGTAAACAAACTCTAAGTGTTCCTTTAAATTAATAATAAGATCTAATTAAATAAGATCATAAAATTTACAACAAAGAAACTTTAAAAACAGAATAATGTTAGAAAGAATTGATTTTAGATGATAAATCCATTTTAAATTAATAATAAGGTCTAATTAAATAAGATCATAAAATTCACAACTTAGAAACTTTAATAACAGAATAATGTTAGAAAGAATTGATTGTAGATGATAAATCAATTTCATCTCATATAGAAGGAAAAATACCAAACGCATCTATAAATTTAGGATGTATTATTTATTAAAAATTTACCATTTTACATAATTAAATAAAAAAATAAAAAGAAATGACACCTAATAGAGATACTTAGAATTTATCAGCTTAATTAATTAATCCAAAATTGCACCTTGATTTATAAAATTTGAGAAATCAATAACAAAGAGAAATGACGGAGGAAGATAGAACGGTTACATCTCAAATGACAGGCACTGTAACTCCAGCTACTTTAACCTAGAGAAGTAAAGCTATTTCATAATATACAAGCACTACTACACTAAAATATCAGCAAGCAAATAAAAATTCGAAATATAAAAGCTTTTTTAAGCTAAATTACATTTAGCAATATTATGAAAGCACTAAAATAAATCACGTTGAAAAATTCAAAATAGAAGTACAGCCCATAGAAACAAATATCGATGGAGGTCTAATCCATAGATTGATTTAATTCATTGATGAAATAAAAACTCTCTTGCAGGTATTTTTCAAATATTTCATTACAATTTGCTTATTTAATATAATGTTATGATTAAAAACTAGAAACATCCTAAGATATAACAAAGCTAATATGAATAGTAGCAGCAATAGCACTTATCAGAAGAATAGGATCCTCGAATTTTGAAAAAGGTATTCTTGGCTCTACCTTTATAGAAAAAAGAAATACAAAAGCTGAAGAAGTCAGAGAAAATTTTCTAATTTATGATTGAAAAATTTGATATTTTACCAATTTCTGTTGACTTGAAATTCAGTAACTTGCACACAAGCTAACTAAACTCAGATTCATCAAGCAAGTACTTCATAATGATTTTGCTAAATTTGATAGGCTCAAATAAGTTTTACTTTGACAGATTCAACGATGAAAATCATCTTTACACCATTCAAAATTTGACGAAGAAAATATTCAACCATTATTACAGCTCGATTGAGAATTAAATTTTTAATATTATTGTTAATGCTAATCTGATAGGAAATCCTGGTTAACTTTTCAAAGAGATAGGATTTGCTTTTGTTGATCTCATGAACAATGTATTTGATGAGGTAAATATACATTATTTATTATACAATTCTATTTTACTTCACTTGCTTACATTTTTTTAAAGTTTGTTATTTATTTTTAAATATTTATTTAACCTTTATCAAATTAACCAGGTACATAGAAGTGAAGAAGTTAACCTCACAGAGAAGTTTTATTAAAGTACCTTTAAAAGTGGGTATACATTTACTAAAAGGGTAGCTTAAGCATTTAAAAGCAGTGCCTAAGTGATAAGTAAAAGTATCATCTCAGAGCTATTTGATCATGTTGATTAAAATTAAATTTCTAAAAATATATTGGCTCAAATGTAGTAAAATAAGCACTCAGGGTAAGATAAAACTAAAGAAAAATATTTCTCCGATATCAATTAACTTAAGAGTTTCAAAGGAAATTTCGTTAATTTATTCCACACTGCCTTCCTTTTCCCACTCTCCACTCCTTACTCCTTAAACAGTGTAATGGTTAAAAAATTATAGAAACTTGACTAGAAAAAAATAAAATCCCTCCAATCTATCTTAAAAGTGAAAAGATATCCAAGGGCTGTGAAAAAAATAGAAAATACTTATTGCCTAGAAAAGTATGAACCTAAAAGGTCATTGGGAAAGGTATAATTATAATCATTATTTCGCAAATTATAAATAAATTTATATTCAGTTAATTTATTTATTTTTCTTTGTTTTTTTATAATAGCTGTTTTTTGAAGCATTTAATTTAATGGAGTTTGGAGATTTCGAAGACACTATTACAGAGCAATACGAGCTTATGCATAACAAAATTTGGTATGTCACAAAAGAGAGGTAAATAAATAATATAATTTTTATGCTCTAAATAGAATTTTCTTGTATTTGTAGGTATCTTTGGACTTTAGCTTTATTTTTTAAGTTTTTTGAAAATAAAAAGTTTTTAAATAAATCAAAAAAATAAACTAAAGATTTTTAATAAATTATTTAGAAATACTTTGAGAAAATAAATTTGAAATAAAAAATATTTGATTAAAACATTTACAATTTATAAATATTTAAGTTTAATTAAAGAAAAACTATTTAAACCCCTTAAAAAAACATTCTTCTAAAAATTTTACATATTATTTTTTATTATGATATGAAAGAAAATCATTTAAATTTCACGAATAAAAATTGATTTAGATTTTATTTTTAAAATAATCAACCTCAATTTTTTAACATTAAAAGAACAAATTTTATTAAGAACTATGTTATGATAAAATTGATTTTTTTTTCATTAAATACAAACTCATCAACATTAAAAATATTTTAACCAAGTTATTAGAATAAATAGTTCATCTTTTTATGACTTTGCAACTTTAAATTCTTATAAATTCTTGTATTTTTTCGTGATACTTCTAAATTATAATTTAAAATAATCACAAACAGTTTAAGCCAATAAACATAATTTTAAAATCAATTAATTCAACTTTGTCTCATCAAATCAAATCTGATAAAATAGTAAAAACTGATAAAATCTATTTATTTAATTTAGACAGAAAACGATACTAGTAAATAATTTTTATAACAAAATTGAAAAATTTATTTTCTAAATTTTTAGAAATATATTTAAAATGATAAATTCTTATTTCTTAAAAATTAAAATCTATTTGCTTGATTGAAAAAAAAATACTAGTCTACAATTTCACTTTTCAAAATAAAAAATGTTTGCTTAAATAATCAATCTAATTTTAAGTAAATTCATTCAATATTTTTTACTTTAAACATACAAAGTATTATAAGCACAAGCTAAAAAATTTAAAATTATTGCAAGAATTAATTTTTATTTCAAGCGAAATTAGAGAGTGGTATTGAATTATGTTATACTACCTAAAAAATATTACTTCCACATAATTCCAGTAAGTTTTTTAGGTTTATTCTTTTTAGATAAGAAGCAACCCCCTAATTTAAAAACTGATATAATAATAAATCTATCTTATATAACTAAGTATTATTTTAAGTAAAACCAGTATTACAAATAATATAGAAATTTCTTGAAAGTAAATTTTAATATGAATACACAAATTATTTGTTATTAATTTAATTTAATGAATTAAAAATTTTAACTATTCCTAATGATCTCTTTTTATTTTTGTATAAAAATTGTTTATATAAAAATAAATATTCAAAGTTCTAATTTCAATTAAAAAATACTGAAATATTTATATTTTATAGATATTTAATTAGGGAATTAAATAACTTTGATTACAACTTTCAAAAAAAAAAAACTTAGAATAATTCTAGATTTATCAAGTTTTTCTTTCAATAATAACTAAAATGTTTGTCTACAATAGAAATTAATGACATAGTTTAAATTTAAAAATAATTTAAATGAGTAAACTAACTTCATGAAGCTATTGTTTACAGATAAATGAACTAAATATTTTTTATTAAAAATACAATTTACAATAAAATAATTATTAATTTTTACATAAAAATGAAATAAAATATTTGATTTTCTAAATACTTACAAAAAAAATACTTTATGACTGCAATATTTATTTATTTATTAATTTATTATTGTTTTTTATTTGATTATTAGATTTATTATAATTGATGAAGAATAACTGCGTATTATATTGAATGTAGCAAAGTAAGATGTTTCTTACATTGGAGTTAATGAAAGATACTTAAAATTTAAGTATTGTGTAGATACCTAAGAAGATCAGGTAAAATTTTTTTTTTACTCATTTGATAATTAAATTGTTTAACTTGCCTTATTATTTATTATAGAAGCACTAGACTATCAGTATGAAAGTACTAAATCTACATTCTGATAGCTTTGAAATTAAATTTAATGAAAAATAAATCAAACATATAAATGAATCTTACAATTCAGCCTTCGAGTACAAGAACTATTTCAACCCCTTCAAAAATTTGAATGAAGCGAAAAATTCATCTTAAACAAAAAGTTATTCAGCCTCTCATTCTAATTAAAATCAATGATAATACTTCATTCAAAAGAAAGAATAAAATATTCTATTTTAACGTTAATATAATAATTACTGCAAAATGCAAATATTTGTTATTATATTTTATTTATTAAGAAGTATTTTTGCATATTTTTGAATTAAGAACACCTCATATTAAAAATATTTTTAGGTCTTAAGGGTATTTTTATAAAATAACACTTGAAAAAATAAAAAAAAATAAAAAAAACAAATTATTTCTCATAAAATCTAGTTATTGTTGGCTCTATATTAAATGCAAATGTTAGAATTTATTTATTCATTAACTGAGGAAGAATTAATAATTAATTAATTTAAATTGATAAATTCAAGCATATATCAAAAACTATTAAAATTTTTAAATTAAAATGTAGGTAGAACAAATTATCTCTCTTTGTTATTCACTATATTTTATTTATGTTATTGTTAAATAAAAATGTTTTTTTTAAGCAAAAATAGCTATTAGCTGACCATTAAATATTCTTAGAAGCTAATTTTAATTAATTTTTGCTTTTCTTACTTAAAATCAATGTAAATTACATTTTTACTAATTTTTTGAAGCAAATAACTGGCAAATTTTTATAGTCTTACATATCTTTACTTTATTTTAAACTTTAGATTGCAATTTTTTAATTTGTAAGTAAAAATTTTCATTACAAAATCTATCTTAATAAAGATATGTTCTAAATGGAACGATCTTTTTAAGTAAAAATGAATATAGCTTCTCTTAAAAGCAAGATATTTTTAACAAAAATACTTTTACATTAATCTTAAAACAATTTAAAAAGGATAGTTTTTTTAGGTTTTAAAATTAAATATAACTAAGATTTAAGATTACTATTAAAAATAAGATTTATATCCAAAAAAAGATTCATGCAACAATAATTTCATAAATGAGCAAATTTTATTTCAGATATTACAAAGTGAGCCAGCTTAAATTACAAAATTTAGTTTGACTTTTATGGAAACCAAATGTATAAGCAGCTTTTAAATCTATTTAAAAAGATTTTGTGCTAAAGTATTTTATATAAGAATATTAGATTAATTTCTCTTTCTTGTATAGAGAAACTTACCTAACTAAAAGTGTAAAATCACAAGATAATATCTTGGGATAATTTTAAATTGAAAGAATAATTAACTTGAATTTAAAAACTCAGGTATAATATTCCTATTAATTTTTTTTTCTTCTTCACTTAATTGGAATAATTGTGCAATTTTTCTTATACATTTCCTAAACAATTAATTTGTGGTATCTAAAGTTGATTGCGTTTAATTAAAACAATTGATTTTTTTTAAAATTAGATTTGGAGAAAACAAAGTTTTAACTAGTAATATTATTTACTATTTCAGTTAGTGATTTACTGTATATTTCCTTTTAACTATCTCTCTTTTCTTATGTTGATTCAAAATTATTTTTTTTATTAAGATGAGGAATCTTACATTCGCTGATCTATAAAATTTGCTTCAGTCATACCAATAATTTTAATCTATATTGTCATCATAATTCAACAACAAATAAGAAAATTAAAATATTAATAACTATTCA